GGGAACGGCGGGGCCGCAGCGCGTCATCACCCGCCTGCATGACGCGCTGCATGACGCCGCGCCGCCCGATGACGGGGTCGAGCAGCCCGCGCCGCGCCTCGGCGGTCATGTCCCGCCCGTACCGCTTGAGCGCGTCCAGCTGGCGGCTGCGCCTGCGGGCGCGTAGCGCGTCGCCCGGCGTCCGCGGCGGTTCAATTAAAATGGCAAAGGCAAGATAGGGGTCTGCTGCGGGTTCAAGGCTGATTGGGTGGTGGTTCAAGTTGGGGCCGTGTCTATTGCAAGGGGAGTCCTCAAGCTGGCGCGTGGCACGTCAGATTGCTCTCCATTGTAGCAGGTTTGACGGTGGGCCAACGCGCAGAGCAGCATGCTGACCATCAAACCCCTGGCGTCGCACCTGCCGATTCCCTCGCCCTGGCCTTTTTGATGGGCCGCAGAGGGGACGCCCGCCGTGGGTGTGGCGGATGCCGCTGCAGCATAGCCGCGCACCAGGGGCGCCCACAGCGATGCGGCTGCGCCGACACTGGTTGTGGTGACACTCGGCCGCGCCTGCTGACCAGGGGAAGGGGGGATGGGCTCGGCTGCAGTCGCATCGTATGCTGCAATCCAATTGTGCATTGGTTGGCCAATGGGCGCGTCACCTGCTGTGCGCGCGCATCTGCTGCTGATGCCGCGCCGCATTGCACAGGTGCCAGCGCTCACCACGGCATTCGCCCACAGCAAGTGCGCCGGCACCATGGCGGCTGCTGCCTCAACCTTCACAATAACGTATCATTGCTCATTATACGTTGTGGCTCGTTTGAATAATCGCTAGAAACACGCATTGGATTTCCCCACAAGTTGCTGTGGGAAGCTGGGCCAAACCCCTGCTGACTGTGCGCTGGTTCATAAGAAGCCTTGTTCGCTGATATAGTTACTAATTTCTCAAACTGATCGTGTATGCTGTGCAGAATTTCAACGTCCTCCGTGCGCGCCACCAGATCAACTCGTGACGCTCGGCGTGGCCCTTTGCGGCGCCTCCATAGGTGCGTTGTTATGAAGAGGGCATCCGCGACAACGTGGAGCCTTATCACCTGTCTATGAACCAGCACTGTGCAAAGCGGTGCACGCGCCTAACGGCCGCCGACAGCTGGGCGCTGGAGCAGCTGTAATGAGGACTGCCGGCTTCTGGCTTGCCGCCGTTCAGCGGCTGCCCAAAAACAACCAAATGGGCAACGTCTGGCTGGATGCATCGCATACAGCCGGCCCGAGGCACCTTCTCCACCCATCTGATCAACCTCTACCGCGCACTCTTCCGTCAGGACCCCGCCCGCGCCCACGCGC